CACACCGATCTTTACAACAATGTTGTTTCATCATCATCTCAAATAAAGTTTACAATGTCTTCCTTTTGATCCCATTTTGGACATTCTTTCCAAAATGACCAAGCTCATTTCACTTGAAACACTTCTTATCCCGTTGAGACTGATCACTGTCTTGACCTTTCCTTGCCCCCGATATCTACACCAGCCACGCCCAAAGTCTTCTCGATTTTGAGCTCCCGCAACCACAATGCTCACATTTGTGCCGCTTAACCTTCTCTTTTCCATCACCTTTAGTGAATAGTAGTTTACCATGCATATTTCCTTCCTCGGTTGGCCTTTTGATGTGTTCCTCGTAGGCTTTCAAGGGCTTCAAATTGTGATGCAAGTTGGCTAGTTTTCAACGGCTTCTTGAAATGACATTGTGTTAAGGTCGGAAAAATGTTCAATTGCAGTAACAATGTGAATGATTTTTTTTGGTACAGAACCCTAAAGATTTTGAACGAATCTTTTGTCTTCAAATGCAGACCCAAAGTTGCTTCCTTGTGAAATGTGATGCAAGTTGGCTAGTTTTACTTAGGGGTGGGCAAGATTTCCGGCCCCGTTGTCCCATTCCAAAACATCCTTGTCTCGTACTTATAATGTCCCGTTTTGTTTGGATCGACAATAATTTTGTTTGGAACAAAACATGGACAAATAAAATTTACTATGTTCCTTCTCATTGTCATGTTTATATAAAGCAATAAATAAATATACTTATTTGTTTATATAAACAAGATAAAATGAAGGAATATCATACATTTTATTTATCCCGGGACTTACATTAATGTCTAGACCCAAACATTTATCCACATTACTTGTTTATAAAAGTTTATAAGATTTATTAATTAAAATGTTACTTTTTTAATGTGTAAAAATGTCTTTATTACACTTTATTTGAGAATTAGCTAGTAAAGATGTTTGTATAAAACATTGGAATTATTTTTATGGGTTTACATAATATAGAGTAAATTTCTTATGTTTACGATTTTAAAAAAGTTTAAATTACGACATCCTGAACTTTTCAAATCATCCCGACCCCGGAACAAATAGGACAAAGTAGGATAACATGGTGTCCCAAACCATTCCGACCCGTTTCTATAAATTGAGACTTTGACCGGGACGACTAAAAACCCAAAACGTCCCAACCAGTGCCCACCCCTAATTTTACTAGCAAAATCATCAAGTGACTCGTTGTTCTTCATCTTTAAAGACTCAAAATCTGATTATATCCAGTATCTGTAGTCGCGTCTCTTTAACCCTGCCAACAACAACAAGCAAGTCTTCAGAGCATCCCAAGTTTCTTTAGCTTTGCTGCTTTGGTAAACAGAGAAATTTGTAACATGGCCTCTTCCAGCAAACCTTGAAATAGATATGATATCGCCATATTCTGTTGGATCAGTATCCATTCTTGGTTTTATTACCTCCCAAATCCCATTGACGTTGAAAATTGCTTTGATCTTCACGGCCCAAATAGTGTTGTTTCTAGCAATTAGAATTGGATTCTGAAATGGTAGTGAACTATTCTCCCTGGTAGTCACAATTTGTCAGTTTGGGTTGCCTTCCATTGCACTACTTTTATTCCTTCAACAATTTTCACAAAATTTATAGACTTTGATTCCTCCCCGGGCCGTACTTGCAATCTACCATTAACCAGAAAACAAGGCCCCGCTTTTCCGTCTTCAAAGCCACTAAACAAATGCTACCCCACTGATTCGTCTTTCCCGCACTGTTTGGTTGGAATACTTCTCCCAAAGAAGAATAAGCCACTTGATGTCCTATTCCTAGGCATGGAAGAAATTTGGTTAGAGATTCTTGATCTGTTGGCAGATGGAATTGTTGCTATTCTTTATCTCATGAGAAAATGTCCTCAAGTGCTAATTCGTATTTTAACTCAATGCATAGTGAACACATTGAAGTTGGAAGCATGGCCTTTTCTATGTCCTCATTGGATGCTGCTAGAGCTCCTGTACCACATGGTTCCCACTCTCCTATTTCTCCTAGGTGTTGTAGTGGTGAGGACAATGCTCATACCGTGGACATTTGCCAATTGTGTTTTGGACTTTCACGGTTATACATCTCACGTCTCTCCAAAGGAAATGTTTATGATTGAAAATATGAGGGTAATAACCCGTTTTGACCCAACTAGGATTGTCGTGCATGTTTTTTCTAGTACAAGACTAAAACATCGACTGCAAAGGTTCTAACGTAGTGCGTGTGGGTAATACACGATGTTCGTAGGTTGTTAGGGTCGTTTGCCCCCAGTCAAATTATTTTTTAGGGATGAAATTAGTTATGATATTAGTGCATTTATGAGTTCAATACTTGGTGCCCCCAATGAAAAATGGAAGTGCCCCCAACCCCAAAAAATAGAGTTGTTCAAATATACAGAGAATATACTCAATTTCTGATTGAAAACTAGCAATGGTGAGTAGTTAAAGTCATAGTAAAATCTGATAACCAGATGAAGATAGATTGTGTGGAGAAGATGATTTGGGGTACACTTGAGGTACACATTTTGGTGTACCACAAGCATTTTTGTACCGAAATAAATGATAAGACAAAAACTACAAGACAGAGATATTTTGTGCTAAACGTTGCATGTGCCCCCTGTGAATTTTCATCCTGGATCCGCCACTGCTGGTGTAGATATGTTTCAGATATATAGGTATGTGGCGTATGTTAAATGGGAATTTATCATGTTAATAGAGCTGAGCTACATTTAGTACCACCACTATTTTGATTGCACCAGGTTTCTAGAGCTACAAAATGCATTTTCTTTCCATTTCACTTATTCACTGTCTTTTTTGCAATCATTGTCCAGTGTCGGGTGGTTTCCAATAACCTCTCAACCTTATGTTCTTTTTACGCTTACTATACTGTCCAATTGTCCATATTGCCATCTCCTTTTACTCTCAACTCTTCACAATGTCAATTCCTTAAATGAGTCAGGCTCGTTTCTTATACCCATATTACTCAGGTGTATGTTGCCATGTTGGGGTTACTACAATGTACATATGATAGGTTGTCATCTTCACTCTTCTGCAGGTACGAACGGGATCACCAATGCCTCATTGATGTGTGTGCGTTAGGGTAGAACTCGTCAAGCTATGTATGATATTGTGTTATTGTTGCAGACCTGGTTAAATATCATTACAGTGATGCCACTAAGAACCCATGTACCTAGCGCCATCATGGTTGACATGCTTTAAGAGCACGACATCTCCATGACGTATAAGAAAGCTTGGTTTGCTAAGGAGAGGGCAATGCAACTTGCTTTTGGGACAGTTGATGATTTTTACACTGCACCATGTTGCCTATCATGTCCTATATGCTTCAAAAAGCTAAGCCAATCTAGGTTCAAAGGATCTTTGGATGTCTTTGTTATGTGGCCACTCAAAGATAGGGGAGACATAAGTTTGCAGAAAGATCATCAGCTTGTGCTTCCCATGGATATCCTTATGTCATGAAGGCTTACAAGGTATTCGATCTTTCCACAGAAATTTGAAGACTCTAGAGATGTCACATTTCATGAAATCACTTTCCTGTTTCATACTCAAGACACTAATGGTTCCTTCTTTCCCTCAACCTATGTTTAGGATATATTTCTAAAGATGATACACCATCTTGAATTTCATCTCTTGTCCAACCGAGTGTCCCACAGAACCAAAACCCTTGTAATTCTTCAAGTCCCTCTCATCTCACTACAAACAACTCCTCAACCTCTCTTACAGACAACTCTTCCACCTTTCCTTTCTCAAATCCTTTTGCTTTGCCTACCAAAGATTACATTCGTTCTTAGCTTCTTCATTTTCATCTCCTTTGCCCACCACAAACACAGATCTTCCTTTTTGTTCCCAAACTATTACATCAATCCCTTCCTCTTCACACATATGCTCTAATGTTCTAACTCAAGCTAGTCAATGATTTTTGCATGATGTTTTTCAAATGCAAGAATTAAAAAGTTATGAGGAAGCTAAAGGTGATCCTTCCTGGGAGGAGGTCATGACTCATGAGTAAGGGACTCTAGGCACTTGAAGATATAGGGACCTGGATTCTTTGCACTCTTCCTGAAGGCAAGAAATCTATCAGCAGCAATGGGGTTTACAAAATAAAATACAAGTCAAATGGAAGCTTTGAAAGATACAAAGCTAGACTTGTCATTAGAGGTTGCACCCAAAATGCTGGAATTAATTATCATGAGACCTCTCCGAAATGCCCACTACAAGATGTCTTATAGCCATAGCCGTCAAACACAAATGGCCAGTTTTCCAGTTAGATGCCAACACCTGGTTTTCCTTTACCAGAAAATAATCAGGTCCTCAAGCTTCAGAAATCTCTATACGACATGGCATACATGTGTATTTTTTTGGTACACACGTGGCATGTGTATTAGTTTTTTAAGTTCAACTTCCTTTATATACATTATACAAATATTCTTGTAGTTTCTTCCGAGCTTGTAATAATGACAATAATTCATCAAGATCAGTTTTTTCTGTCATAACAATTCTCCTTCCTCTAGTGATGCGTTCGTCAGCTTCCAAAGCCAGATTATATTCATCATCTTCTTGACGATTTCATGATTGAATAATGATCAAAATCAACATATTTTGCTATTAAAATATTTTCTCTCTAAAATTTCTATATTCTCTTATTGAGATTACGTTTTACGAGTATAATTTTCATAGAAGGATCCCAGTTTTTTTCATTTTAATGTAAGACTCATAAAATGTCAAGAACACACACCAGCGTGGGACTCCAAAATTCAACGGCAAAAGGAGAATGATTAAGTTGTATTAAATGTGTGATGAAAGCGCACAAATTGACCACTTAGCCAAAGCACAAAACACAAAGAATAGCATCTATAAAAAGCAAATTCTTCCCATTTCTTTTTAATAATCAATGATGAAGTCTTTTCTTCATGCAACTTTTTTTCTTTGTAGCGAATATATCCCAATAGGATGAAACTTCAAGAACAAGTGAACGGTGAAAGTGTATATATATAACGACCATCCACCACCAAATTCAATGCTAAATTCTAAAAAAAAAAAAAGAGTACGTCCCCAATACACCTCCACAATGAGCAACCAAGAGGACTACAAAGCCAAGGAGACAAAGGCCGATCTCGGGGAGCGGTGGCCGCACGGAGGGATTCGGGGCAGCTGCGGAGGGTGGCTAACGAGCGACAGAGGGAGCGGCACCACCTACGACCTGGTGGAACAGATGCATTTCCTTTACGTTCGGGTGGTGAAAGCGAGGGAGTTGCCCTTAAACCCCGTGACCACAAGCTGCGACCCCTACGTGGAGGTCAGGCTGGGGAACTACAAAGGCAAAACGAAGCACTTTGAGAAGAGGCCGAACCCGGAGTGGAACCAGGTCTTTGCATTCTCCAAGGACAAAATCCAGTCCTCCACGCTGGAAGTCGTGGTGCGGGACAAGAATATGGTTGGGAGGGACGACTGCATCGGCAGAGTGGTGTTCGACATGAATGAGGTCCCGACAAGGGTCCCGCCAGACAGCCCGTTGGCACCGCAGTGGTACAGGCTGGAGAACAGAAGCAGGGGGGAAGTGATGGTGGCTGTTTGGATGGGGACGCAGGGCGATGAAGCGTTCCCGGATGCTTGGCATGCAGATGCCGCTTCTGTTCATGGGGAAGGGGTTTACAGTGTTAGGTCCAAAGTGTTTGTCGCTCCAAAACTCTGGTACTTCAGACTCAACGTCATTGAAGCTCAAGATGTTGAGCCCGAGGACAAAACCCAACCTCCACAGGTTTACAATATTTGAGATTTATTATTTAATTTGCAGAGATGGAACTTTCAAAGGTTTCAAAAGTTTGGTTATTAATTTATATATGATGTTGGCAGGTTTTTGTGAAGGCTCAAGTTGGAAACCAGATACTGAAGACTAAGGTGTCACAGACCAAAACAACCAACCCCTTCTGGAACGAAGACCTTGTGTTCGTAGCTGCCGAACCTTTCGAGGAGAAACTTGTGATCTCAATCGAAATCAAGACACCCTCAAAAGACGATCAAGTCGGGAGGCTAACTTTGCCCCTCAACGCATTCGAGAAGCGGTTTGATCACCGGACCGTCCACTCCAGATGGTTCAACCTGGAGAAATACGGGTTCGGTGTTCTCGAAGGCGACAAGCGACACGAGCACAAATTCTCAACAAGGCTACACCTCAGGGGTTGTCTGGAAGGCGGTTACCACGTCTTGGACGAATCGACTCTGTACATTAGCGACGTGAGGCCAACTGCGCGACAGCTGTGGAAGCAACCCGTTGGGATTCTTGAAGTCGGTATCCTTGGAGCTCAAGGGCTTCAGGGGATGAAGACTAGAGACGGAGGAGGAGGAGGAAAGACTACAGATGCTTATTGTGTGGCTAAGTACGGGCTGAAATGGGTACGAACCCGAACCATTCTCGACAATTTGAACCCGAAATGGAATGAGCAGTACACTTGGGAAGTGCACGACCCTTGCACGGTCATCACAATCGGAGTGTTCGACAACTGCCATCTCGGGCTGGGAAACGAAAAATCAGCAAAGGATTCGAGAATTGGGAAGGTGAGGATCAGGTTGTCAACACTGGAGGCAGACAGAGTGTACACCATGTCTTACCCTCTTCTGGTTCTCCAACCGCCGTCCGGGCTCAAAAAAACGGGGGAACTCAAGCTAGCTTTCCGCTTCACATGCTTCTCTCTCGCCCACACAATCTATCTGTACGCGCACCCATTGCTCCCCAAGATGCATTACCTCCACCCCTTCACCGTCAACCAGATAGACAATCTACGGTACCAGGCGATGAGCATTGTGGCGGCGAGACTTGGGAGATCGGAGCCACCTCTGGGGCGGGAGGTGGTGGAGTACATGATCGACGTGGATTCCCACATGTGGAGCATGAGGAGGAGCAAAGCCAACTTCTTCCGAATCGTTTCGCTCTTCTCGGGCGCCATCTCAATCGCCAAATGGCTGGAGGAAGTGTGCAAGTGGAAGAATCCGGTGACCACGCTGCTGGTCCACCTCCTCCTCTGCATCTTGATATGCTATCCCGAGCTGATACTCCCCACAACTTTCCTCTACATGTTCCTCATAGGGATGTGGAATTTCAGGTCGAGACCGAGACAACCGCCCCACATGGACACCAAACTGTCTTGGGCAGAGGCGGCCAACAAGGACGAGGTGGACGAGGAGTTCGACACGTTCCCCACATCCAAACCCGAGTTCACGGTGAAGATGAGGTACGACAGGCTTCGGAGCGTGGCTGGGAGAGTGCAGACCGTGGTGGGAGACATGGCGACTCAAGGGGAGAGATTGCAGAGCGTGCTGAGCTGGAGAGATCCGAGGGCGTCTAGCCTCTTCATTGTTTTCTGCCTTTTTGGGGCAATTGCTCTTTATGTTACGCCTTTCAAGATCGTGGCTCTGATTGCAGGGATGTATTATCTGAGGCACCCCAAGTTCAGGACCAAGTTTCCTTCCGCACCACTCAATTTCATCCGGAGATTGCCCGCTCGGGCTGATACCTTATTGTGATTGCACGTGTGGCAGCAGCTGAGGCAAACCCGTTCCTCCAAGTGGATACTCCCTCCGTCCCAAATTATTTGTCACATTTCTATTACCGAAGCAAAATATCAAGTTTTTTCAATTTATTCTATTTACATATTCGTAAAGAAATAAAAAATAAAAATTACATATCAAAAAACTACATGAAAAGTTCTTCGAAATAAGAGGTGTCAAAAATATTTTATTTTATGAAATGACCAATGAAAACGTAGAATTAAACAAAAGTTCCCGCGCCTGTTGAAAAAGCAAATGTGGCAAACAATTTGGGACGGAGGGAGTATCAAATAATACTCCCGTAGTAAAATAACTTTACAGTCTGGTGCTCTTTGGTTGAATGCCTGGGAAATGAAAAAACTACCTAGTAGTCTAGTACTCCATAATGTTTTGGAAAATGCTAGGGGTACACCAAAATGTACCCCAAACATCCCCATCCCTCCATCACCACACAAAAAAAGCAAGAAAAATTCAGAAAAAAAAAGTAAAAAATAAAAATAAAATAAAATGAATGGTAAAGAGGTGGGTGGTGTACATTTAGGGTACACCTTTTTGGTGTACCCCTAGCATAGCCCTAACAATTTTCTTATAACATTCTCCCTCCGGTACAATGAAACGATCTCATCTTTAACTTGGAATGGAAATTAAGAAAAAAAATGAAATCGTAGGGTTAAAAGTGTTAGTAAGAAGTAATAAGATAGAAAATCATTCTAAGTAGGAATAAAATATTGAAAAATACTATAATAGGATCTTCATATTTTGTTAAGAAATACAACACATGCGAGTTAAATACAAAAATATTACATTATGTACCAAAAGAATGGCAGTGTAGCATTACGTTGTAGATTTATTATTCAAGTGTGAAGCGCGCGGTTAGTACCACACACATTTGTCTTCTTTATATTCTTACGAACTTTTGATGATTAAAGAGGAAAGAAAAATAGTTGCAAGAAGATCCCAAGTGTAAAATATTTTTTTTGTCAAAACAATCAAAAAAATTTAAACATAATCTACTTCACAAATACTTTTATGCATTCTTGCTCAATAAGTGCATTGTTTAGTTGTAAATTTTGAAAAAACATAACTATAGTTCGATTTTTATATATATAAAAAAGACAACTTGGGTTGTACTATCTTCATCCACTAGTTTTCTTTGCACTTTCCTTTTTCATCAGTTCGATCCATTAATTTTTTTCACGTTTTTATTGGCAAAACAAAAAACTCAATGTCTCTTATAGTCATATACCTCTTGTATCCAACGTAATCCCACCCTCACTTTAACTCAAAATGTTCCCGCCCTCTCTTTAATTTTTTCGTCTTCTTTAAGAGTCTTCTTCTCCTTCAAATGTACTCCTTCTCTCCGAGTCTTTTTCTACAAATTTTCTTCATTTTCTTAGACATTTTTACAAAATAACGAATACCTATGTACTCCCTCGATTCTAATCTTTTAATGCAATATTTCATTTTGGGTTGTCCTAATGTGTACACTTTCTATTTATGGTCAACTATTACGTCTCACATAACAAATATGCCCCCTATTTGAAAACATTCTATAACTCCCCAAACTCGTGGATGATTTTTCTCAAATCTTATAGTACGTAATGTGGATTGCTAATGGGTCGTTTTTACATCTCTAATCGGCAAGCAACAATTCAAAAAAATAAGGTTTTCGACATTTATTGCTTCTCAGATTGATGGAGATAGATCTGTCATCTTCGCTTGTTAGATGGCTGAAGATCGTTCCACCATTGTTGCTTCTCGAAGCCGTCGGTTTTTCTCATTGTTGCTAATATATCGCCATGGTGCATCGTCTCTTCATTGCTAATTGATAGTTATTGTGAATTCCTAATAAAATCTTTATGGATGAATAATAGATCTTTGCACATGTGGTGTGGGCCGATGAGGCATTGCTCAGAGGTTCGTATAGGAGTGCTGCAAGAGAGATATTGTGTTTGAAGCTTGCTGGCTGCGATGAGAGGGGCTTCTGCAAGTATCAGGCATGCAACCCCACCCCTATACCAATTGACTAAGATTATAGCTCAATTTACCTCTTCTCAGCTAATTATTCGGTCGGTGCTGAGGTGCCCTCGGGGAAGGGGTGATATCCTTTTTTGAACATGAGGTGTGATGCAACCGACTGAACATTAGAATCATATTCGTAAACATTAGGTGTGGTCAACACAATTTTTGGATTCCAACTGAGCGGTCATCCCTATGAATTCTAATTTCAAGGGCATTTTTGTAACTTTCCTCATCAATTCCCTCTTCCTTGGTCTATGTGCCAAAATGAAAGTTGACAAGAAATTGGAATAATACTACTCATATTAACAAGGCACATCATTTTTTGAGAGCACATAGCTTAAAAACTTCAAGATAAAGCGTGCTTGACTTGAGTAATTCTAGAAGTCGGTAGAGATGTGTAGAAGTCTCTAGAAATTTGTAGAAGAGTGTAGAAGTTTGTATAAAACTTTAGAATTTTCTAGAGAAATGTGGAAGTTTCTAGAAGTATGTGAAAGAATGTAGTACTCTCTAGAATATTCTAGAGCTACGTGGAATCCTCTAGATCCTTTTAAAAACTTATTGAATCTTCTGAAGACTTTCTAGAATAGTCTAAAAATGTTGAAATGTGTGTAATATTCTAAAGAAGCATAGCCTTGGTGATGAGTATAAATAGGGGCGTGGATGTCTTATTTGGTAATCTAAGTGTGAAGAACCCAGACGGCTTCTTGAAAGTACTAGTACAAAGTTATTTATGAAGTCGTGTCTTTGTATTATTGAGTGTGCTCGTGTAAGTATACGTATACAAGTTCGGAAGAATTTGGGTTGATATTTTTCCCCACCCCTAAATTTCATACTCGATCAACTTGGGATGTTTACTTTTTTTATTTATTTCAATACTTATTTGAATTTTGAATTTTGTTTTTATCAAAGTCTTGGAATATCTCAAATATTTAAAATCGTGATAACCCTAAGATCCTCTTTGAGGTGGAGAAAATTATTTATTCTACCTTGCCTTGTCCCAAAATCATTTTTCCTAAAGAGCTACCAAGTCGCAAAGGCAACATTAAGCTCTAGTGTGAAGCGTCATGTTAGTTGTTTTAACTTTTAAGTACTTCATTCTTCCTACAAGATAACATTATACGAATAATGTGTTAAATTATATTATTTTTAAAATTATTTTAATTACAAATTGGTCTTAGCCTAGAAGAGGTCAAGAATAATTATTTATAATAAAATTTGATACAAAGTTATGTGTAACTAATGATGAATATTGTGATAACTAAAATGACACGTAATTATTGTGAGCGTGTATACTTTACCATCTTTTACACATAGGTATGAGAGAATAAATGTGAAGCCTATCTTGGAGGGTACTGAGATGGAGAGGTGATGTGCAAGCCTGCACAAATTTGAGTAAATGATTTTGTCTCGTGTTGAATTATGGCTTGCAAATCGCTTCCGCACTGTTTTAAAGTAATTGTACTCTGATGTTATTCCAAAATATTTTGCACACTTGTTTGAAATAAAGTTTTTAAACGTTTAAAATTGTATTGTTACCAAATTAATACTTTAGTACGAAAGGGGTTGCAGACCTGGACAGATTAGGGCGTTACAAGATTAGGGGTCCGCGTTTCAGGAGGTTGAGGAGATTGATCCAAGGGATTGTAGGGGTGAATTACCATACGATCTTATCTGGCTGCCACGTAAAAAATGCCATGTCACAAGACATGTGTGAACACTACAACTAATAAACTCTATTTTACATATATATAGGATATGATAGAATAAAAATATGATAGGATATATGATATAGGATAGGTGGTGCAAATTTGGTGCCCACTTTTGTGTACAGGTACATACACCAACCATAGTTATAAGTTACATCATTGGTCACACAGAATTCTACACACTTCTTTTACATTCGTCCAAAAAGAATCACGTTCTTTTTAAGAAAAAAAATATGTAGTACAAAACATTTCTAAAAATTATATTGGGCGTATCTAATTTCATGTCTATGCACATGAGCATTGTGTAACACATAAATGTGTATATATATACTAATATTATATGTGCATTTCCTCAATTTTATTCTTATTCTTCAATGGATAAAAGGTTTATTACCAACAAAATAAAAAATATCTTTTAACAAGGAAATAAGAATTATGCAATTATTAACATACATCAATTTCGTAATATACGTACTCTAAGTATATGAAAAGAAATAAATGTACGAAATGAGCATTATATATTCTATAGCTTATAATATTGGATTATCAACTATTAGTGTGTGTATATGCCTGTATATATTGTTCATTTTTTTTACATTTTAAAGAAAAGTTAAAGTAACAAAGATTTTGATTACAAACTATACAAATTTATAATTGGAAAGATTATCTCGAATAATCCCATAATTTCGTGCTCTTTCAAAAATAATCTCGCTTTTCACAATCAGCGTAAATAATCCCACCTTTCTGCATGTGTGCGAGTTCTGGGTTGTGGTTAAAAAGCTAACGACTACTTAACCGAATTTTTGAAAAAGACCCATTTTTGCAAATAAATGAAAGGAGGATTATTTTAGGGAAATTCTCTTTTTTCATTTTTTTTTTCTAACATTAAATTTAAATGTATTTTTTAAAAATATTTTTTATAAATAATACTCCACCAAATTTAAGTATTTTTTAGAGTGAAACTAATTATTTTTTTAATAATCAATAATCTAGTAATAATTGAAAATTAAAAATTCCACACAATGGAGCTAATTTATTTACTTGATAACTTACTATATTTTTTTTTGTAAATTTCAATTATTTTTCTTGAGTGTCACTTCAAATTCTTTTTTAAAAAATGGTTCTACATAACTTGTGAATATTTTTTGATAAGTTTATTTAAATGTTTTTTTGCAAAACAACACTACAATAATTGTGAAAATAACACAATAATATTTTCTAAGAAATGGAACTTTTATTTTTAAAACTCACTACATTTTTTGTTGTATTGCAACTTTTTCATAAAAAACACTCCGAAATGTTTATTGATAATCTTCTATTACCTGTATATTTTTTTCTAAAATGGAACTATCCAATTTTTAATGTTTTTGATAATTCAGTACAAATATTTTCCCCAAAATAATATTTAAAAATTTGTAAAAATGGCACAATATTTTTTCTCCAAAACGGCACTAATTAATTTTATAACTCATTATAAATTTTTTGGAATGCAATTTCTTTCTCGAGCGATACTCTAAATTATTTGTTGATAATCCAATATTATATTTCACACAGATGATAAAACAAAATTTGTAAATCATTATATTTTTTAAAAACTATT